AGGGAGTGGTGGCAACAACCTGGAAGGTTCCAGAAAGGTCTCATAACTCCCCAGGTCAGGAAGAGTGGGTCTGAAATGAAGCAGGGGTGGGGCAGGTGAGTCAATTTCAAGTTGAAGGCTCATTAGGACAACTTTGGCAAACACGGTCTCTATGCTGTCCTTTTGAACCATCTTTCTGCCAGAAAGGTACCAAAGTTTGTTTTTTAAAGATTTTTTTAAATTTATTTATTTGACAGAGACAGAGACAGCGAGAGCAGGAACACAAGCAGGGGGAGTGGAAGAGGGAGAAGCAGGCTTCCCGCTGAGCAGGGAGCCTGATGCGGGACTCGATCCCAGGACTCTGGGATCATGACCTGAGCCGAAGGCAGCCGCTTAACGACTGAGCCACCCAGGCGCCCCCAAAGTTTGTTTTTTAAATTATCATTCCCATGAATGAAAGGAAGTTGAGTCAATGTCTTCACTTTTAAAGCTAAAGTTAAGAGAGAGAGAAGTGGTGGGCGCCTGGGTGGCTCAGTCGGTTAAGCGACTGCCTTCAGCTCAGGTCATGATCCTGGAGTCCCGGGATCGAGTCCCGCATCGGGCTCCCTGCTCAGCGGGGAGTCTGCTTCTCCCTCTGACCCTCTTCCCTCTCATGCTCTCTGTCTCTCTTTCTCTCAAATAAATAAATAAAATCTTTAAAAAAAAAAAAAAGAGAGAGAGAGAGAGAGAAGTGGAAAGAAACTCCTCGGGGCTGAGAAGTGGCTGTATGCTATGGGGAAAGCAAACACAAGGCTGAGAAGCAGGGCAAAGGAGGGGGCACAAAATTATACTCTGCTCATGACAACCCCCTCCCCTCCTTGTATTTATTTTTTAGTTTTGTAAGCGTGGCCTCGTTTCTCCAGTTTGATTCTGCTGAGCACACGTGAATGTCATTTCTGTGCACATGCTCCCTGGGTATGACCAATATCTGCACAATATCTGCTCACCTATTTCTTCCTTAATGATCCTCTGGGCTATTCGGTCAATGGTTCCCAGTTTGAGCGCAAATGTATCTAAGTAGTCGCCGACAGCTGCAAACTCAAGAGGTCGACTCCTCAGCTTGTAGCCTCCAGTGACGTGCTTGACAGACTCGCCCACTCTGGTCAGCAGCGCCATCCCTTGCTTCTTGTAGACATTCAGGTCCTAAGGATGACACATAAACAAACAAACTCAAGGGGTTCCATCACTCCCACAGCCAGGCCTTGGTAAACCCAACCCCTTTAGGTGGTTTCTTCTTGGAAGTGGCAGACTCCGAAAACAGGGAGCTGAGTTAGAGGACTGACCACGTACACAACAGTCCTCTCTCCTCGCCATCAGAAGCAACCAAACGCACATACCTGAGCTCTTCCACCAGAGCAGGACTCCTACCTTTCTGATCGGGCTCACTCACCTGAGTATGCTCTCCTTTAAACTCAACACTATTTCTAACATGACTGTTTTAAAGTCTCTGACCAAGGGGGGAAAAAAAAGTCCCTTTCTCTCATATAAGATATCCTAAGTTATCTTTAGGAGAGCTGAAATTCATTCTATTCATTTATTTATATCCCAAGCAAAGTGATATAAAGAAAGGAGGGAGAAGAGGACAGGAAGTAGGAAACAGTGATAGAAAAAGCAGCGCAAGAATACCCAAGCCAAGGAAAGATGCTGTAAACAACAAAACACTTTATCCTGAACGTCTTGGTCAGGGCATACACGGGAAATATGCTGAGCTACATGAGCCACTGTATCTAAATTTAAAATGCCTATCAGTCTGCCAGGTCAAATGAACTTCCTCCTGTCATCCAACTCTAGGAGGAATCGACAGCACCTTCAGGTTGTTCGACGTCACCTCCTTTAATGGTGCCTTCAAAAATGGTTTTACAGAAGATCGGGTGTCTGCTCCTTATATCCACCCTCAACACGAACAGTAGGAATTCCTGGTCTGAGGAGGGCATGTCCACAGAGATACAAGGAAACACAGCACAAGGCCACTGCTTTCTGGTCACCTTGTCTGGTTTGGGGATGGAGCAGAGAACAGGGCGGCCCCCTCCCATTTCACCGCCACAGTCACAGGCTCCTGTCTCCACAAGTGTCTGCAGGGGAAACTGCTCCTGATTTCACTTCCTTCTTCTTTAGGCAGCCAAGGCCTTCACTTGGGCTCTTGATTCCACTCTTTCCTAGCTACACCTCGCTGACCAGCAAGGCCCCCGCCCATTAACCATTCCCTCTTCTGTCTGTACCTTCAACTTCTCACCCTTCGGTGCGTAATAGACACCCAGGGCTCGCCCATCTTCAAAACAGCGGCAATTTCCTCCAGCTCCCCTCCTTCATTTTTCTTCTTCCTTCCAAAGTCAGGCTACCTGGGAGAATGTTCCAAAGATTCCATCTCCTCTTCTAGCCTCAGGTACCCTAGACAAGAAAACGTCCCCGTAGACACCTGGCTTTCACAAGACAGTAACGGAAGCCTTGCCATTCTTTGCACTGCTTGCAGATTCAGTACTCTCGGGAGCAGGGCTAGACCCCAATGGGCTCGCTGGCCTGCAGAAGCTCTATTCCAAGTAGAGGCTTAGAAGAGAACCCCCAGTTAGCCAAGTCAACATACTGCATGAGGTTATTGGGTAGTGTCTCTCTGACTGCTGCACCCATTCTGGCAAAGATAAAAATACTGATCTGAACACGGGCGATACTGAGCATCCCCCCACCTCTCCCAGCATCACTGGCTTCTTCTCAAAGACACTCCTGGTTTGTGGTTAAGATCAGGTTATCACGAGGAAGAGGAATGCTTCTGCCTTTACTGTGGCAGACCACATCAAGGCCTCACCTAAGAACAAGACCAAATTATTCAAGGCGTGTCAGAAGATGGGGAACATGGGGAGGGGGAGATGGGGAGCCCCAGTGGGATCACACAGCACACAGCACAGTACCGCGTTTCAGTTTCACGAGACGAGGAAGTTCTGAGGATTAGTTGTGAATGGACTTAATGCTACTGAAATGTAGATCTTAAAATGGTTAGGATGGTAAATTATGTATTTTGCCACAATTTAAAGAAAAAAAAAAAAACAAGATGGGGTTATTTAGTACATTCAGCTCAGCAAGTAAAACTGAACTAGGCTAGGATTTGTTCTGTGTTAAGAGTCAACACCCCAGCACTCACTCATGGGAAGTTGGATTGTGGTTAAGACACTAAGGACTTTTTGTTTGTTTGTTTAATCATTCATCTGGCCCACAGATAAATGCCCCCTCCCCCATATCTTTCCTCTTTAATCTCCACATAGATTCCTAATGACCAAGGGTCCACGTGTTCTCCCCTGTGTCTCTGCTCAGTAAAGAGGACCAAGACTGGGGCCTGCCAGGTCAACAACCTGAACCGTGCGTGAGGCAGTGAGTTGCAATGTTGGAGAATCGGATGGATTTTACTCTGTGTAACAACTGTATCTGAGGATCTGTTACCAGGAAATATTTATTTTGAAAAAGAACACGAGTTTGATGTGGGGGAAACAGGCCTTTAGGAAAAAAAGAGATAAATGGGAAGGTCATCAATGGGGCTAAAAAAAATGCCAGTGGTGGTTTAAAAAAAAAGAAAATACTAAAGGACTTAGCCAGGTGGTTTCCATCGTCTGGAGAACAGCACCCTCTCTAAAATCTTTAACGTCAGCTGATGTTATCTGCAAATATTTCTCAATTTTGCCATTTTGAAAAAGAAAACTGGGAAATCCCTGAGCTTCAACACCCTTGCCAACATGGGATAAAGCACCTATGGCCTGAGGATGGGAATGTGACCCACGGAAGTAAAGAAATGTGGCTACAAGGAGCTGGCATGAGAATCTGGGCCTGAGATCCCATTTCTGCAGACATTTAGGGCAGAGTGCCTCAGAATTCCCACCAGTTCTGCCAAAAGGGAAGTGCACACAGAAGCCAGGGCATGACCAACCTGCGTGGGGACACACAGAACCTGGCAACTGTGTGGGACCCAAACGTTTCTCTGGCAAATGCTTGGAAAAATGCCCACCCAATAGGAACGTGGCTGTGGGCAAGTAACACTCAACTCGTCTTGGTCGGGCAGTCAGATACAGAGGGGAAGTGTGGCCTCCGGAGCCATAAAGACCCAATCTCAAATCCTAGTGATGCTACTTGAACACGTACTGACTCCTTGAACTCCAGTTTCCTCATCTGTAAAATGAGGTTGGTTCCTGTGACGGGTTCCTGTGAAGAGCATCCTTACCAAACCCTCACTAGATGTTCTTACGCTCTGTTCTTTCAGCCCACTCTTGGTAAGAGCGGTCTGACCCAGTAATATGCCAAGAAGTGTTTAAGGAAATGCTTAGCCCTCCTTTCGGCGAGTGAAAATACTCTAACTCCCTCTGCTGCTGCAAAGGGGTGTTTCTCCCAAATTCTAACATGGAAACCCTGCTGAGGTAAATGGACACACACACACAAAAAAAATAGAGCAATTTGATGACATCCACTATTGTGGGCCATTCACAAAGGTGGTTTGTGAGAGATCAAAGCAGCTTCTGAGAAAGAGCCTGAAGGATACATTATAATTTGGGGGAAGAACATGAAAAACTCTGTTCTTACCTTAGCAGTAAGGAAAACATTAAAGTGTTCATTGAAAGAGAGCACAGGATGATCTGTAATTCTTTTTAGGAATTTATCCAAAGCTTTTCTTCTGGTCTCCACAAACTCTTCTGAAAAACGATCTACAACACCTTTCACCACAAACTTCTCAGGAAGCGGCTATGAAGACAGGAAGAAAAATATTCAGAGTAATTGATAAGATAGTGGAAAGAAAAACCACAGGCTAGCAAATAATTCTGTCCAAGAACATACTCCTTATTCGGGTGGATCTTTATGTAGTCATCAATATAAACCTTTCTGAAACATACAGATGGAGTAAATCACAGCTACCCTTCTCAGTTTTATAACCCAAGAAGTAAAATGCTAGAGACTAGTCCTTGGAATACAGAAAACAGTCAGTCAATATGTATCCAGTAAATAAAATATTGCTCTCTTTGGCAGCACATACACTGAAATTGGAACAATACAAGGATTAGCATGACCCTGGCACAAGGATGACAGCAAATCCAATAGTCTAGCTATCTGTACATTGCTTAATGCACAGGAGGTATAATGAGAAAGTCAGGGCCAGAAAGACAGTCTAAGGAAAGAAGGCAGACAAGATCAACCACGCAAAAATTGATTTAAATAGATTCACATTCTGCTCCCAGTTCAAGGGGTAGAAGAACTTGGTGAATGGAGAAATAAGTACATTGGGCAAACCCATGTATCTAAAAAATACCTCTTCCAAGCCAATCTTTTGTGTAGGTTTACACTCAAAAGTTCTTAAAAATGTCATTTCCTTTGCTCCTCTTCCTCAAACAAATGTCTCTGTAATATTTGCTTTGAGCCAATACTGCGGGCAATTTAAAACTACCTGGTTACTAAGGGATCTTTGAGCTTTGACCTATTTCCATAGTAGCTTTTATTAAATGCTTGATTAAAAGGCCCTCCCCATTACTACCATGAGAGAGAGAGAGAGAGAATCTGCTAGTGTGCAATTCGAAAACGTTTGGGTTATGAAATATTAAAAAAACATTTACATTAAAAATTGGACAAACAATTGGTACATATTTTTTCAAAGATCTACAAATGGCCAACAAGCACGTGAAAAGATATACAAATGCAAACCACGGTGAGATACGACTTCCACACCCATGAGGATGGTCCGAATAAGGGAAAGAAAGAAACAAGCAAAACAAAGAACAGAACAAGTACTGGTGAGGATGGAACAAGATTTAAGTCCACACCCTCCTTCAGCCCCATATTCTGACAATAAAGAGGTCTATTTCTTTTATTTTTTTTTGAAGATTTTTATTTATTTATTTGAAAGAGAGAGAGCATAGGAGCAGGGGCAGAGGCAGAGGGTGAAACAGGCTCCCCGCTGAGCAGGGAGCCCGACGTGGGGCTCGATCCCAGGACCCTGGGATCATGACCTGAGCCGAAGGCAGGCGCTTAACCGACTGAGCCACCCAGGCGCCCCAGTTTATTTCCTTTAAATTATAAACCTTCAAGTGCACGCACGAGCACACAAAAACAGACACAAGGACTTCACCAACCCGAAGAAGTGGAAACCTAAGGTATCTGGAGTGGAGAAATCAAGAAGTGATCCCAACTTTGAACCCTTTCAAAGACTTGTAGTCTGGCACCATCAACAGCCCTGGGATGAAGCACTTGGAAGAGCTTTGCAAAGGCAGGATGTTTTCCATCTCCAGAATAGAGACTGTGGCTCCATGCCTCCAGGGTTCATCTTCCCCCTCGGCCAAGCTGTCTGACTTCGGTCAAGTGGCTAGGTGTGCCTCATTTAATGTAACAGATAATCTCCTGGTCCCTCAGTTTCTTCTTCGTTTGTAAAAAAATAGGTAACAGTAATGCCAGCCTCTCAGGGTTGTTACAAGGATTAAAATTCACTGCTAGGCTGAACGTGCTTCACACAATTCCTACTGCAGAGGAAGCAACAACAAAAGTTTGCGGGGGTCTTTGCTGTAGGAGGGGCAGCGGCTTTGGGAACTACTAATCTTCGGGGACAGCCATGTCCAGTTACATCTTGAAATGGTAGCAGTGTGCAGGCAGAAGAGGCTAAGAACTGACTGGTTTCTTTTTACCAGATCGGGAGTTCTAGAGGGCATGGCGGAAAGGCATAGAAATGAAGAGAGAGAGGGTAGCAGAGTGAGGAATAAAATTACAGAGCCGCATGGAGAGAACACGTCCAACTTAGATAGCTGGTAGAGCTTACGCCTGGGGAGAATATTGGAGACGGGGTACTGGGTGAGATGCATATAGGGCCATCCAGCCCAATGTTCCGGCCCAGTCAGAAGCACCAGGGAATCTGTCTTAATAGGGTGTGGTTGTTCTTTAAGACAACTTCTTTGTTCTGATCAGTTCTTCTCCCATTCCCTTAGGCAGCCATTCTCCTTAAACCCTACACTAAACCCCCAACCTTTCATGCTAAGCACAATACCATCTCTCTGACATAGGAACCAGGTGTAAGGGCATCACATAAACATTCCCTAACCATCCTGCTTCCGCCACAGAAACCCATCTCCCCTCCATTTCTCAGGTCCCTGTGGACAACATACCCAACCCCCAACACACCACACAGCTAACTCTTCTGTGTCTTTGACCCATGAGTTCACTATCATGCATGTGTTGTCATTAATTAATTATACCTTCTTTTCCCTGTACCTTCAACATTTCCTCCTCACCTGGCTCTGTTCCCGAGTCTACAAAAATATAGTTGGTTCTCTTTCTACCCCAAAATAATAAACCTAACTATCCCTTGACTTTACATCTTCTTCTCCACCCTCCTGCGGGGCTCACTCAACCTTTCTGAAAGAATCATTTATCTTAACTCCCACTCCTTCCATCGATGTCTCAGCCCCAAGCTTCCTCCACCCCAAAACGAAGTTGTCTTTGGTTCTCCCTTCAATCCTGCATTTCTCCGCCTTATCCCTAACCCAATTCAGACCACTCTTTTAAAGATGATCAATGGCTTTCTAACGACCAAATCCAGTGGATATTTACCTGCTCTTATTTCATGAGTCCTGGTGAGCATGCTCTGGTTTGCTTATGCTGAATAGGACTTGGGAGGAAAGCCTAATGAGAAAATAAGTGCCGAGGTGTGCCTCATTTAACGTAACACATAATCTCATGAAATAGTTAATTCATTCCTCAGGTTTAGTACATTGAACTTTATGTTTAATGGATCAGGGAAGCTTGCTATTTAAAGGAACCCCAGAGTGAATCCTTCTGCAAACAAAATTTCCTTCTAAGCATTATTATTCCCAAACGTACATGGCTTTGGAAATTTGTTTCTTCCTATTTCGAGCTTACTTAAAGGGGACTTAAAGCCTAGTCTTGGCGTCACCTTTATAATTACCTTCTGGTTCCTTTATGCATAGGAATCTGGGTTGCTGATGAAATCAAGTGCCTCTCTGGACTGTAACTGAGCTCAGCACAGCTCCAAGCACATGGTAGATGTCACACACATGCCAGCTATTTTTATGACCTTGTAAACACTGACAACAGAAGGCAGAAGGGGAGTGGACCAAAGGGTGGAATTTCCATACATCTTTGAGGCCAAAATGTTTTTTAAAAACCCTCTGTGATACATACCATTTCACACCCACTAGGATGGCTATAAGATTTAAAAAAAAAAGAAAGGAAGCAAGTACGTGGAGAAATTGGAACCCTCATACATGGTTGGTGAGAATGTAAAATGGTACAGTCTCTGTGGAAAACAGCTTGGTAGCTCCTCAAAATATTAAGTGTAAGATTAGCATAGGATCCAGAATTCCATTCCTTGGTACGCAGCCCAAATAATTGAAAGCAAGTGTTCAAACAAAAACTCGTACAATCAATGTGCAAGTAGCATTATTTATAATAGTTGGGCTGGGAAAAAGGGGAATGAGAAGCGACTGCTTCATGGGTATGGGATTCTTCTGGGGGGGATGAAAATATTCTGGAATTACATAGTGGTGGTGACCGTAAAACATCATGAATGCACCAAAAGCCACGGAGCTGTACACTTCTTAAAATGGTGAATTTTATGTTATTCAAATTTTACCTCAATTTTTTTAAAAAAAAGCTGTGGTGACGGAAGCAAATGTCAGAGAGGAGAGAAAACACTGTGCTTTGAAGATGGCGGAAGGGGCCACGAGCCAAAGGATGTGGGAGCCTCTAGAAGCTGGAAAAGTCAAGGAACCAACTCCCCCTGGAGCTTCTACGAGGAATGCAGCCCTGCCACCTGGAGAGTAATCCACTGAGACCAATTCTGGACTTTTGACCTCCAGACTATAAGGTGATAAACTTCTGTTGTTCAAATCGCTTGCTAAAAAAAAAAAAAAATCTTACCTGGTATGGGGGTGAGGGAGTGGATAAGGACAGAGATGAAACAAGATGGGCCACTGGGGATAAATGCTGAAACTGGGCGGTGAGTACATGAGGGGGTTCATTGCACTGAATCGCTCTACTTTAGTATTTCTGACATTTTCCATAATGAAAACATTTTTTAAAAACAACACATGCATGTATATGTTGGAACTTAGAAAAAATCCTATTTGTGGGGCACATGGGTGGCTCAGTCAGTTAAGCGTCTGCCTTCGGCTCAGGTCATGATCCTGGAGTCCCAGTATGGAACCCCATGTCGGGCTCCCTGCTCAGTGAGGAGTCTGCTTCTCCCTCTCCCTCTACCCACTCCCCTCTCTCTTGTTCACTCTCTTTCAAATGAATAAAATCTTTAAAAAATATATTTTAAAAAATCCTATTTGCAAAGCATTACAATAACCCATTAAATATTTCAAGGTTTAACCTTATAAAATATTTACGTTTTCATAGCACTTGATACTTTGGTCAAGCACTTTCATATGTATTATATTTCATAATAGTTTATAAGAAAGTACCTTATAATCTGTGAAAACAAAAGCATACTTCCCGTACATTGTCATGGGAAGCTACTATTTCATAGTGCGAAATCTGCACAAAGATTTCAATTGCTCAATCTTGAAATGATCCAACTTCCTCTTGTCAGCATTTGCTTCTTCAACAAATATTAATTTGCAATTAACTGCAAATTGCAATTAAACAAATATTCAGCAACACACCCCCTACATGACAGAAAACTATTTTTCCTATCCTTATCAAACAGACAATATTGCTCCTAAGAAAAAATAACAAATAAAAGAGCATTAAGATTAAAAACCTCCTCTCCATAAAAACCACCATCAAGCCTGGTTTAATTCAAAGTACTTGAAAGTCTAATCAATGTTCAACTACTTATTAACTTACCTACTGGGTAAGCTAAAAGCATGCATATGCTTTTTTTTAAAGATTTTTTTTTTTTTTTTTGACAGAGAGAGCGAGAGAGGGAACACAAGCAGGGGGAGTGGGAGAGGGTGAAGCAGGCTTCT